AATTTTCTGAATTTTTTTAGGGGCCCCATGGGCTGGATAGAATGGCCTGGCAGGCCACATCTGGCCCCCAGGCCATATTTTGCCCACCCCTGGGTTAGGAGAACAGTTTTCCTTGTTTCTGCCATCCCTGCAGGGCACGAGTGCTGTCTCTGGCACCTAATGCTTCTTAGTAGTTGTCACCTGATCACTGACAGCTTCCTCCCTTCCCTGGCAGGACAGACAGCAGGCTGTCAGTGATTAGGCTACCCTGGTCGTGAGGGAAGCCAGAGAATAGCCTTCTTGTGCCCCCCCCAGCTGGAAAGCACATCTTTGAAGCTGCTTTGTAGCCCTCTAGCCAGGGGTCTGGGATAACACACTTCTTGCCATGTTTTAATGGCACTGTAAATTTGACCTGCTATATTTTAATTTGCCTGTCAATACCTTCAAAGGACATCAAGCCTTTTGTCCCTGTTGGTCCTGCCTCTGGCTACTGCTATTTTGTCTCATGGACATTGTGTAGAATTGCTTGTTTCTTGTACTTGGGAATCAAATGCTTTAATTCCTCCCCAGGATAATATATTTATGTTGGCAGAGGTCCTTCTTTAGTCATCTCAGGACAGATGCACAGGTACTGATATCTTAACTGCCAGGAAACCCGTCTACAGAAATTTCGAAATTCAAATTGTTTGCCAAAGTAAATGGAATCATTTTACTCATTTACTCAAAAATAAAGGAAAGTATCATTAGTGCTTTTTATTTCTATTCATTCTTGTTGTGGTAGTGCTTAAAGCTTAAGACATGAATCAGGACTCCGATTCATGAGGCTAGGTGCTGTATACACATAGAATAAAATGATGATCTGTGCTATGGACATGCTGCCTGAAGATGCCAACCATATTTTGACTATGTAAATAGCATGAACTGCTTTTGGGCACATGCTTCAAGGCCATTCAGGCCCCAGATGTTAAAATAATGGCATGGATAAACAATGTTTGGGATGGGGGCATAAAATTCCTCACATCCCATTGTGGGATGGTAAGGGACAAACTGGGACCCAAAACTGCCCTCAGCCCAATCCCATAGATAGGGAAGGGGGGTCGGGCCTGCCCCGGGCGAATTGATTCTGCACAGCCCTGGGACCAGTTTGAGATTTTCATCATTGACCTGGGCAGCCCCAGGTCTAAGACATGCCAGCCTGAGGGCTACGACAATTTAAAGTGCTATATAAACCAGCCACAAAGATGTTCCATATTATATATTATATATATTATACATGGAACAAGTTTGTGGCCAGTTTACCATTTTATGGAGTTAATCATGCCATAAATGTAATGTCTGCTATTCACCTAAAAAAAATGCCTTAGAAGAACAATAGGTTATGCTGGATTCTTAAGTATGATTTATCTGTGCTGACTACCAGACTATAATTTACTGAAGATATTCAAAGTTCATGTCCAGAGGGTAGGAAAAATGTCCCAAATCAACAGGGGCTCATGCAAAAGTGAAGCTTCACTCTCTGGTAGATTATTGTTAAAGCTAAAAAAAAAAAAAGGTGTTAATGTTTTGACACATTCTGTTAACACCAGAGTATCAAAGCTGCATAAAGAATCATGTGGAATCTTTCAGTGGGTAGGGGTTGCCTAACTATATTTTTAACTCTACAGAAAAAACATTCTTATGTTCTAAAGGGCTGAAACATTGTTGGAAGCCACTTTTTATCATAATTGTCATAAAAGGATGTTAAATGTTACCTGAGAATTAGAACTGATGTCTAGTGGAAAAAAATTAACATAGTTACAGGTCTCACATGCATTGACCTTTTATTGCCAACAATCAGTTTGGTACATGAACACAAAAGAAGTCAAATAATGACGCTGGCATTTCAGTAGCTTGCCAAGAAAAGATGATTCCCTCTCAGCTTTCCCTTCCCTTCCCTCAGCTTTCCCTCCCTAATCCTTAAGTGGAGCTATGCTGTGTTTTCTTTAAGTGGCAGCTTCAGAAAATGAAAACAATGACAAGGTGTTAGGTCTTCAGGAAGAGATGCTTTGATACCAAATTAAAGTTCAAGAGAGTAAGGACAATGCGTTTGTTTCCTACCATCTAAACTTCTCATATACTAGTGCAAAGGATGATTACAGCCATTAAACATGGATCAATGTCTACATTTTAGCCATCAAAATGTACCAAACATGCAGAACAATTACAAGAAAAATGAGGATTGATTATGTTATAGAGTTATCAGCAGATGCATTTAAAAGTAAGGCATCAGTTTAAAAACATGAATGTCAAGGAGACGTGAATCCCATCTATGAAGCAAACAATTTTGTTTCATCACAATAAGCATCATTGACCTTGACTATGAATGGTATATTTTTAAACAAGCTGTAGGAAGATGATTCAATGGCTGCCTTTTTCTTCCAAGATGAGAATGTTTTGTTTTAAGAGAGCCTTATTCAAAGGCATTTTTCTCTTTAGTAAGCCCCCATTTGCCGAGAAAAATCTATGAATATGACCGATTTAAAAGTTTTAAATAAGCAATATATGTAAGATTTCTGAATGTATTTTAGATACATAATGGAATCAGAGAACTTAAAGGGACATGGCCTACTGGGTTATCTCATCCATTCCTCTGCTGACTGCAGAGGCATCCTCTAATGTATGTTTTCTAGTCCTTTGTTCAGTCTAATCTTCAATGAATCCACCCCTTTTTCTTTTGGAGAACATTTCAAAGTACAATACTGTTAGACTAATCCAGTTCTTTTGCTGAAATCCATTTGCCCTAATTATTCCCCACTTGAATGACTTTAAATAATTCCTATTCCCCCTTTGCTATCCAAACAGTTCACAATAAAGTTATATTCCTATCCTTAATTTGTCATAATTTGTTTGTTTAGTAGGTTTAAGCTTCTTCGATCACATATCATTCTAGTGAGGGCTGGATGAAAGTTTTTGAACGAATAATTTAATCATTGAAAAATTCAATTTCAGATCAACCAAAACTGCTTGAGAATTCTTACTTAATCTGACAACTGTCACTTAATTTAACAAATAATTTCATCTGATAAAAATGAACACAGATTTTTTTTAACATTTCATTTTTCCATTTGTAAGCAAAAAAAAGAGAAAAGAAAAGAAAATAATGCAGAAAACAGAACAATTCATTCTGGTTTGAAACGTTCTTTTCAACTTTTGGGGGGTTTAGCTAGTAAACTGAAAAAAATCAATGATTTCCACAACTCTGTTTGAGGAAACCTCATAATTTTTGCTTTGGTTTGCAAACTCCCACCAGGCCCCCTCCCCATCTTTGTGGTAACAAGTGGTATATATTCAAGTACCAGATTTTGAATGCAATATTCTTGGTCTATCTATTTCATCATTTCACCATTTAGGTTCTCCTACAATGGATCAAATAAGTGTCATCAGCATGACATCTGGAGAACTGCTGATCGCTTATTTTATAGAGAATGGAGAGAAGAAAACAGTCCATACCTGTGCTCCAAATAATTTAAAACATATTTAAACTATGCAGAGCTAGAGCTGAACTCAATTTAAAATTATACACACCGCAGCTCCAAGGCAGCTTACCCCACTGTACCACACTGTAGCTCACTATCTTTTTTTAAGAACCCTTAAATAGAGAAAGAAACACTCAGTGATAGTTTTGTTAAGAGAATTCTGCAGAGCTACCACGCAAGTTCCATGATGCTGATCACTCTTCTACAAAGGAATACTAGTTTTGATATGGCAGCACGTAACATAACTGCCATTTCAGAACCTACAGTGACCTATGAGATAATGTCAATTAATTTCCAGATTGATGCAAAAATTTTGGGGTTGAACAAGATACAAATAATCAAGTCTACTCTGGATTTTTTTTTGTAATGTTTTCAGTGTTTTTCTTCATACAATGACTATTTTAATAAGATAGACACTTTTGTTCACCTTAACTAGTGATTACTTGGAAATGTGTTCTCAGTGAAATTTATCTCAGTTAAATACTCTATAGGGAAATTGTAAAGCGCTCCGAAACAAAATCATCTGCTTGCATTAGGCCTATATTTTGACCATTATAATGGGACTGGGCTCTCTAGTTTCAGCTATCATGATATAAGTCCTTTTTAAAATAACTGAAGAACACCCAAGTGACAGTTTATGCTAGTTTACCTAACTTAGTTGTAAATGATTTTAGTTAAACATCTACTGTAACATGGACTGTAGTTAAATGTCTAGTGTAGTTTTGTGCGTGTCTACAATGAAGACTATATTGTGATTTAGAAATACGTGAGGCAGCTTTAAATGAGCTGGTTTAGGTACTAGACATTGTCTAGCCAAGAGCTCAATGAAGGCTAGTTTTCTGAACTTCCAGCAGCTGAAACAGCTCATTTAAAGCTCTCTCTGGCCTCTACTCATCTACAGTCTGAAGCAAAGGATCAATTATTTAAACATGTCTAAGCCTTAGTGGTTCTCAAACTTTAGACTCAAGACACCCCTTGGAAATGTCAACTCTTAATTGTCAATTGTCAGCACTTAATTTTAAATTACAGGAACATAATATAGTAATTCTTTTGTTGTGAGAATTCAAAAAGACCGCAAGAGTTCAGAATGTTTTTAACACTATGGATTCCTACTTGAAACCTCTGGTTTTATCTTGTGAATCATGTTTGCACATCTAACAGTGCTAGTATTGCATGGCACTCCATGGCACCCTTGAAAGGATCTTAAGGCATTCCACTTTGCCACAGCACCCTGACTGAGAATCAGTACGTTGGAGAGAGAGAGAGAGAGAGAGAGAGAGAGAGAGAGAGAGAGAGAGAGAGAGAGAGAGCGCGCGCGTCTGCAAGCTAGAACATGATGTTATTTGCAATAGCTTTATTTTTCATGTAAGAATATTGTATTGAGAAGATTCAGAACAAATTTGACATACTAAGCATTTGTCCCATATACTGTGTCAGATAAAAAAGAACCTATACATTTTTGTCTAGTAAGGTCTTAATAATATACAATATGTAAAAGAGGCTTACCGAGTCTTATTCATCAAATCCGCCCCACGTGCTTTGTAATAATCTAAATTCTGTTGGAATTGGTGAGTCACTGGTCTGGGATTTTTCTAAAGAAAAGAAAGTGTCACAATGAGAAAATATTTAATAAAAACTGGTATCAGTATCTTAATGAAGAACTCTGGTGTTTTAATATAGTGTTTAGAAAGGTTTTATTTAATAAGGAATACAAATTAAAGAATCATTTCTTTTTCTAGACCTATAATTGATAAAGACAGGAATCACTTTTAAAAAGAGATGACTGGTTCTGAAATATTTGGGATTCAGGCATTAGCATAACACTAAGACTGATCACCAATCCTGTAATTAAGCATGACAAACCTACTCATCCATGTTGAGATGAGGCCAAGCCACACTGATCTAATTTGGATTTGAATCTTCCCTGTGACTGGTGAAGTTTGGTTCCAGAGATCGCTTTATGCCGTATGTAAGGCTGACTAGAGAAATTTATAACCAAAATATTTGGCTATAATTAGGGCTTATTAAATGAAATGTTAATAGTGAAGGCAAACTAACTTAAAATTAATGTACTACTGCTAGTGAAAATTTTAGTTAAGCAAAAGATAGGCTAAGAATTACATTGAGTTGATCAAATTAAACATAGCCACTAGATGGCACACACAGCTTTTTTTATTCCCAAGCCTCAAATCATTCAGAATCTAGGCCTTAAATAAAGAACCATCCGTTTGTACCATAAAGCATATAATTAATATTGAATATACAGTTTGTTAGTCCCCACTTCCACCAAAAAGAAACTTATTTATTAAAGTATATTGTCTCAAATAGCACTTTGGACATAATATTTTATTAGAATATTCAAGATTATATACCACTGTATTATGCACAAAGGAGCCCATACAGCTGAAAAGGTTAACATTGGAAGATAAAGTGTTATGTAAATATTTTTATTATTAAAAAATAAATTGCACATACATTCAAACAACCTATACACAGACAGAGTAAATACCTTTCAAAGAGAGAGATGGCCTAAATGAATATGGCCAGGGCAGGAAGTAACATTCATTAATGTTTTTGTGCAACTATCTAAAGATACTGCATTGGTAAAAAATGGTTCAAGTTATTTCCTTTTAAATTTCTTCCCCCTTATAACTGTGTACTTATTTAAAATATATTAACCTAAGCTTTTCTGTCCTACTAATAATTCATACAATTAAGTGATCAATGCAATGCTTCATGACATGTTTGATTATAGGGGGAAAATCATGTTTTATTTTCATCTTGATGAAGAGGAAGTATTAAAAGAGACAGAAACATTTACTCTTTTCCACATCTCCCTGTGATCACTACCCTTGTCCAGTCTTGATATGAGCTGTTGAGCGATATCCTTTTAAGCTTTAGGAAACTGCAGCAATCCTTTTTTTGTTGACCGCTTTTTTCAATTTTGTAGGAGTAGTTGGGAATTACAGCTTAAGTAACCAAATACTGTACATGCCAGGGGTGGGGGCATAAAGAGGACTTAACCTTTAAGAAACAATAGTTATCAGAAGGCTGACAGGGTTGATGTGATCAAAATTAAGCTTTGGGATTGAAACCTCCACTGAGAATTTTCTATTTCATATTGTCAAACTTAATCTTGTAATCAATAACTTTTCTTGTCTGGAAGCTCACTGAAGTTATTTTAAATAAATACTGTATGCAGTGCTCATAAAAAAACCCCAACCTAAAGGCTATTAGACAAGCATTAAAAAAAACCTCGTCCAACTGCACTGTAATGGCTACTGTACATTTGTCTTCTCTTCTTACTATTAAAATAGCTGCATAATTCTACTCCATCATATGGCATGTAAGTCAGTCCTAATCAACTGACAGTAATAACAATGAATCAGTTTTAGTTACTGTTTTGCTGGTTTTGTAATTCCGAGCATTTCTATGATAATCAAATCTGACTGACATCAAGGCAACGACTGATGTTTCTATGTTAACTTTTCTTGATACATTTAATAGATTATTTATTTTTAGAGATGCTGATTAGCATTTGAGCAAAGGTACATGAAAAGAGGTGTTTCAAGTCACCAGCATATTTCTAGTTTTTACAAAGTTCATTTGAAAAAACCTCATTTTCACTCATGCCTAGTTCTGGTGCTTGTTTGCAGTAACTGAACGTGTGCTTTGTTTTTACTAAAATATTAAAAGATTTCTTTTCCAACTCCTATAAACCAATAAAGAATTATGTTACTTTCTTTTCTGGAAAAAAATGGTAAAAGAGATTATGTGGAACAGCTTCTTGAAACATTTATGCAGAAATGACAAGCAACTCAAGACACAAAATGCTGATCTACTATCTAAGCACTTAAAGCCATTAATAGGAATAATGATCTAACTTGAACATATGAATGAGGCTCAAGCATTACTTTCAGTAGGGTCTATTTAAATTCCTGTGAGGCTTACTGGTATCAAAGGGAGAGACAGTTTAAAGTACTATTACATGCAGAGTAAAAAAGCCCTCAGAAAAAAAAATAATGTTGAAAAAACAGCATTTTAAATTTAAGACAATAAATACTATGGGCTAATGTCAGAAATAATTTTGTAGCCCTACCTGATATCCTTTAAGAAAATCCGGATATATTTAAAAGCCTAAATTACATATTTGCCTGCAGATATCTGAATACTATTAACCCAGACATATTTAGTATTTCTGAAAGCTACATTTCCAACAAGAGTAAGAGAAATTAGGATTATGACTACTGTTCCTTAAAAAAAATCCATTAGCATACATTTTGAAGAAAAATATCCTAAACATTACCATTTTTCCCCTATATCAATATCTTTTTCCATCTCTCTATCTGCAGTATTAGATGTGTTGTAGACTCAAAACAAATAGGTTAAACAAATGACTTACCACAATGTAGGTTCACTCTAAGGCAGACTATTCCTAAACACCAAGCCTTCTTTGCAAAGTGGGTACAAGTACCACAGAGATGGTTAATTACTTATCCTAGTAACACCTTTCATATTTCTCTTGTTCAGATTAAGTACTTTGAACTATTTAATGTAAAATCATCATCATCTATTGATAAGAGAGATGATGGGTAAATTATTATATCTATCACACCCCAACAAGTATCATGTACTGAATGCCTAAAAGGTATAAGAAGGGCAGTAAGCAGATTAACAAGTTAATTTTTTCTTCCCTTTATATAAGGAAATGTAGCACTACCAGGATGTTTTATGTACAAATGAAGGGAAGCCAGAAAATACACAGCTTTCTCATTCTTTTAGCAACTTCTCTGGATTTTCCAATTACTTTTCTGTTCTTTTTAACAGGAAGATCAACTTTTCTTCTGAGACTTCTTTTTAAATGAATGATTTCAAATGGAAAAAAATATTATGTAGTGCTATGGTAATAGGTATGTAAAATAAGATTTTACGTGCAGGATAGCACCACGTTTTATACACGCAGTTTGGAAATCAAAGCTAAGGAGGCAGCAGTGGCTAACGTGACTTTTAAGCTCTTTTTGGGCCTCCATGATCCTGGATCAACCCAGGGACTGAAAAAGTCTCCTGCTGAATTCAGAAAATCTTGATTAATTACCTACATTAGAGCAACCTGCCTCCTCCTATCCAGGGCAAGCCACGTTGCCATAATCTCCATGTTGCCATCACTTGTGGCTTCCAATACCAGTTACGTCTCTTTTCTAAGGCCCTTTCTCCTATGATGAACCCTAATGTCAGGCTCAGGAAGAAGTCCTTTTGGAATCTCTACCCTGCCAGTCTTAAGTCTTTGGCCAAGGGAATTTGCCTCAAGTTAGATTCAGGACTTTTAGACTCTTTTATATCCACTTCCACCTTTCTGTCTCATTAAACGATTATAAAAGGAGTAGGAATATCACCCAATAGGGAGTCCTAGTATCAAAGAGAGAAAAATGACAGACCATAAATTGTTATAACTTGATGAAAAGCTCTACCCAATGTTTGAATTCTGTGCCATACCTGTAGATAGTATCAGGCTAATACTGACTAAAAAACTTGATTTGCTTAGACCATTGTTGCCACAAAAAAGTTTGACATCTTTGCTTGGTTCCCTGAGTTTGCAAATTTTCTTGTGGTACTGGTAGGGAAGAAAATAACTAAAAAGTTTAAGAAATCTGAATTTGGGTAAAATAATAGTAGTAAATCTTGCGACACAATAATGGAAAATGATTTATGTAGCTCTTATCATAGAGAGGTGCTGCCTTGAATGATACAGGTCACAACAAGATTATTTTACTATATATTAAGAAAGCTACTTTCCTCCAATAATGTAATGCCTTATTATTTGAGAATGCAGCACTTGCAAGAGAACATGTGAAGATGATAGGGGTAGATACAATTTAAGACTGTTTTACTTCCACTTAATTTTTTTCATGTTTATTTTTTTCTTAGGCATTATTTCTTCCCTTTCTTTTTATTTTGAATTCTAAAATTAAACACTCAGAAGAGGAAACAAATGAAAAATGTCTAATGTGTCTCTCTGATGAAAAATGAGACTTATTTGAGTGAACATACTATTGTCTCCATGCCAGGGGAAATGCACTCGTCATTAGAGAAATGAATTGCTCAGCTGTTTATAAGCAAAAAGCTCTGGGGGAATTTCTCAGGGCCCCAAATGCAAAGCATTGCAGGGTTATGCAAACATATGTTGCAGGTGTTTTAGGGTAGACAGGTGGGAAAACCTCAACCACTGTAACAGACTTAACTTAATAGATTGTAACTGAAACGAGATAACCAAAATGCAACCAAGTGAGAAAGAAACAGAAATAGTGAATTCAATATGTGAAGCAAAACTTACTAAAATAATTATCTCATTGGTGCCAAGCAAACTGTTTTTTCTATATCTACTAGTTTTACAGGAAACAAATACTGCCAATTATATTTTTTTTTGAACACTGATGATATTTTAAACTTGGAACCAAGAACACTCTGAAATAGTGATAATTATCCCAAAAAAGATAAGGATGAAGTATTGTTGCCTTTATTTATATTTCTAAGGAAACAGTTCGTTATAATATCACCTCTTTAGTTGACTAGGAACATTAGATTTATCATAATT